TATCTGATAAGAAATTAATATCCAAAATATAGACACTACTACTACAACTCAATAGAAATAAATAAATAAATAACCCCATTTTAAAATGGGCAAAAGATTTGAATAGACTTTCTCCAAAGAAACCAACATATATGTGAAAGATGCTTAACATCACTAGCCATTAGGGAAATGCAAATGCAAACCACAATGAGATATCACTTCACACCTGTTGGGATGACCACTATAAAAAAATAATAATAATTAACAAGTGTTGACAAGATATAAAGTTTCAGTTCTACAACAGGTATAGTTTCAGTAAGACAAAGTAAAAAAGTTTCTAGAGATGTGCTGTACAACATTGTGCTTATAATTAACAATGCTGTACTGTACACTTAAAATTTTGTTAAAAGGGTAGAACTCATGTCAAGTGTTCTTACCAAAATTTTAAAAAATTTCAATAAGCCAACCTGTAGGGCGAATTTAGTTAATAGCTCAAGGCCACTGGGAGCAGAACCCTCTCGTCCCAGTGAGGCAGGAGAGCAAGAAGCTAGGAAAATTCCTGGTCAAGTGGAATGGGAAAATTGAGACAAGGACATAAGTCCAAATAGTTTGAGCAACTTACAGCCAGCTGGTGAACCACAAGAATTTATCTCCCCTAACCAAGGACACTTGAGAATGAATGGTTTATACCTCTCCATCCTAACTAGAAAGTACATAGTTTAGAACTATGTACATAGGGCAAAGGACCCGGGCAGACGCTTTTCCAAGGAGGAGATACAGAGGGCCCAGAGGCATTTGAAAGGATGCTCAGCATCACTAGCCATCAGAGAAATGCAGATCAAAACCACCATGAGGTACCACCTCACACCGGTCAGAATGGCCATCATAAACAGATCAACAAACAACAGGTGCTGGCGAGGCTGTGGAGAAAAGGGAACCCTAGTCCACTGTTGGTGGGAATGCAGACTGGTGCAGCCACTGTGGAAAGCAGTGTGGAATTTCCTCAAAAAGCTGAAAATGGAACTGCCTTTTGATCCAGTGATTCTCCTGCTGGGACTATACCCCAAGAATACCAAAACACCAATACAAAAGAACCTATGCACCCCAATGTTCATAGCAGCACAATTTACAATAGCCAAGTGTTGGAAGCAACCTAAATGCCCATCAGTAGATGATTGGATCAAAAAGTAATGGTACATATACACAATGAAATACTACGCAGCAGAAATAAAAAAAGAACTACTAAACTTCTCAACAGCATGGATGGAACTGGAGAGCATTATGCTAAACGAAATAAGCCAGGGGGCAAAAGACAAATACCATATGATCTCACCTATAAGTGGAACCTAACCAACATACAAAGAGCAAGGAAAATAAGACCAACAACACTGAAAGGAAAAGAAATCAACAGAGACAAGAGGGAAGGGGGGGCGGGGAAAAGGAAGGGAAGGGAAAAGTCAAGGAACATATAGCAAGGACTCATGGACAAAACCAAAGGGGAAGAGCTGAGGGAGGGAAAGAGGGAGGGGGCAAGGGAAAGTGGTGGGGGGTAGGCAGAGACAAATGTATTTGAAAAAATAAATTAAAATAAAATTTAAAAAAAAATAAAGAAAGAAAGTACATAGTTTAAATCTCCTTAGTCTGGGAGAGAGAGAACAGAGACACTATTAATGTCATTTGTGCCGGCTAAACCCAAGGATAGATGAAGTCAGGGGAACAAATAACAAAAACCCCATTAAAAGCCAGACAGACCCAAGATAAAAGCAAAACAGTATAGCAGACAAAAAAATATTCCCAAAATGCCCCTATGCACTCATTTTGATACATCAGCATATTAAAAATGCTGATGAATATTCTGCTGAAACCCTCTCTTAAGATTCCCACAGAAAAGAAGGAAAAAAAAAAGATTAAAAAGCCCTCTGCACAAAGACTCAGCACGAGCTCACTCTAGAGCTCTCCCATGCCCCTTCTTAGGCATGAACTTTTTATTTCCTCCTAAACTCTTAGGGTCTCAAGGAGACTTGCAGCCAGGGGAGCAGTGGGCAGTGGCAGCTTGACCCCAGGCTTACCCCCGATCCTGTCTCCAGAGCCTCCTTTGTCTCTGACTTCCCGGTGAGCTAATAGCAACCCGACCTTGGCTTACTCCTTTCCTATAACTTTTCTAGAGAGGCAAAGTCTCCCCACTTACGCTCTCTCCTTTTACTTTTTCAACTGTAAGTTTTGTCTTTGTTTCACTGTCCCCAGCTTTAATAAACATACTCTCAAAATCACCTGGACTCGTGTTGTGAAATCTTTCCGACACAAAGTCCAGAACCCTCACACTATAGGCCGGTGCCTGTGGGGTAACACCGACATAAGGCTCCTATCATGGTAATGCTCAAAAAATAGATACAGAAAAAAACGAAAGCACAATTTGGTCCATACTTTCACAGATGCATTTCCGCAATATATTTTTTTAATTCCCAAAGGAAAGAGTGATCCATTATTTATAAACATGACTTCCTAAAATGTTGTCCTCTGAGAAAGTTTCACATAGGCTGCTTTAAAAATGAAAATATATCTATTACTTATAACAAGAGGATGAAAAGAAATAGCTCTTTAATTAGAAAGGAGGCAACTTCCAAAAGACTATTTGACGCAATCCTTCCTTAAGTACCATATTTCTCACTAGAGGGAGCTCAGAGCCCACTGATCAATAACAAGAAAGTGAGTAAAATGCCATTTCACTTCAGGGGAAAAGGGTTTGTTTGAGTAAATATGACATCTAATTTCAGAAGTTCGGATTTTTTTACATGCCAATTTTCTTTGATTATATAATTACATGAAAGGTGATTAATGCAAAGTTTCCTAATAGTCAATTGATATAATCAGCTAGTATTATAAGTAAGCATGGTATAGGTCTAACAAGAGATGTATTACATTATCCCTGCTCTCTTGTGAGAAAAAATTCCTAGTGTATTCATGAGAAAGTACAAACAATGTAAGGTAGTAGTGACGATTATGGGTACCAAGAAAGGCTGTCTGGGGAAATATAATTCTTCCTCTCTGGCTGCTCTGTTAGTGTTTCCGAGTATAATCCTAGGAGGCATTTTATCCTTTAAAGTTGCACGTTCTTGGGTACGGCTGAGAGGAGGGCTGTCTCACGGCCAGTCCTAAGCTCGTGTGCTCAGCAGCCTGCTTCTTCCCTGTCACCCACTGCATCTACTCAGGCCCTCTCAGCGCAGACACTGAAGAGCCACGAAAGAGGTGCTGCCTCCACGCTGACCTTAGCTGCCAAATCCTCCCTTCCCAACAGCAGTGTTAACTCAGGACAGCGTGGAACAAAGGGTTACCTAATGCTTGGGGGGACGGCGGGACTGCACCATACCTTAAAAGTCGCTTGTCTCTTTGCCTTCTGCAACTGAGAACTTCTCAGTGGCCGTCATCACTCCTCAGGTTCCAGAACCACTGCCATCCCCAGGTTATAACACCTGACTCCAACCCTTGAAAATTTTCACATTTCTCTTTATCTTACATGAGGGTTCCAATATGTCCTATGCAAGTATGTCCCAAATATTATATGGGACATACTTATTCTAAACAAATTATTTCTTATTTATCTGAAATTCAATGTGTTTCCTAACTATAACAGCTCTACTCTAGAGCATTTACTCTGCTTCCCCTGGGGTCAGAGGAGGAAACCCAGGGTCCCATCCCCCCCCCCCTTTATTAAACAAGTTCTGTTTCATCCCCTCCTATCCAGCCCATACACAGAGGAAACCATTTATCTCATTTCTCTTCCTTAAAACAAATATTTGGTTTATGTTTTAAGTACCCTGGTTTTTCTTTCTGTCTCGGTAGTGTATCACCTGTCTGTTAACATACTTGCATGCACCAAGTTAAACATTAATTTGTTTTCAGGTTTCAGAATAGCCTCATCCACACATCTGGTTCATTAAATTCGTGTTCATTCAGTGTATGCTAAGTACTGGCACATGAAGGTGAGCAAGAGAATGGCTCAGTCAGTGGAGACAGTGTAATTGAAAATGAAGAGGTAGCAACTATTCCACATCAGCTGATGGCGCTGAACCTAGCCGAGAACACTGAAGTCACATTTCGGTTGGCCATGGATTGTAAATTGGTGACGTTTGAAAGGAACAAATAGCCTTCTGGAACACCAATATCACACTTATATTTTTCTTACATAAACTTCTCTATTTCTGAGCGAAACCTCTGGAAATTTATCCCCTAAAGTAATCTTTTCTATGAACCTCTTGAAAAATTTTCTTGAACTTTAATGTAGGAAAGGAAAGGTGAAGTATGGGGCCAATCCCGGCAAGAGACAGCCAAGTAAGAGTGGGTTTTCCCAAGGGGACCAAAGACTCTGCGTTAGAGTGAAGTCAGGCGCGCTCGCGCGCTCGCTCTCTCGCGCGCTTAAGGGATACAGTCCAAGTTTGCCACAGCCGTCTTTCTTTGCGCATCTTTCTAAATAACACCCGTCTTTTTTTAGATACATTTTTTTTTTTCCCGTATGGACCAAAGCATTTAACCAAGTTCTGTTGAAGCCCGGACCCAATCATTTGATTTTTACTTATTTCTGCACCTATAGTTTATGTGTAGATTTCACTGTTTAGCTTTCAGAAGCAATTTACATACGCCACACACACTCCTTTTTGTTTCTATTCCTGGTTCGAAAGAGAGCGAGCTTTACTCTCCCCAAAAAGTAGAAAACAGCAGATGCGGCTCCAGACCAGGACGCGGGCACAGCGATTCCAAGATAGTGTTTCCACCAGGAGAATTTGTGAGTCCTGCTCTCCGTGGAATCGCTCTGCACCATGTGTACCAGCGGGCCCTCCGGAGGGAACACTTCGTATTCCCAGACCACACACACGTCAACCTGCTCCCCGAAGGCACGGGACACGTGCGCACCGCGAAACGGGAGTCAAGCGTGCGCGGAGCGGGCGCGCGCAAAAGGCCGTCCGGCGGAGGCGGGAGCGCGCTCCGGGTCGACGTCATTGACCCGGGTTGGCTGCACCGGAAGAGAACGGGTGCGCGGCGCCCAGGTCTGGGCCATGGCTCACAGGCCGAAAAGGACCTTCCGGCAGCGCCGAGCAGACTCCAGTGACAGCGATGGCACCGAGGGGCCATCTGCTGGACCCGGGCAGCCGGGGGAGCCGGCAGCCCCAGGCCCCGAGGATGAAGGACCGCCTCCTGGAGGAGGCCGCGCAGAGGCAGCTAGGCGGCCCTTTCGGGGCCGGGGCTCTCGGGGCCGGGGCCGGGTCTGGGCGAGTTCCCGGCGCGCCATCGGAGCGGCACCCCGTGCGGGCGGCGGCTCGGGCGCTCCAGGTGACTTGGGACAGCAAGGTGGGCGCCGCAGGTGGCGAGGTGGGGGCAGAGCAGGAAGAGGCCCGCGGGATTCTCTTGAGGTTTCTGCAACTCGCTGCCAACCACTAGCAATGCTCGGTAGCGGACAGCCCGCCTGCGAACACTTGCCCGCTTCCCGTGTCTCCTTGGGGCTCCTCGGGGGAGTAGAAGGAATCCTGTAGGGTTTGGGGGCTTATCTTCACCGTCAGATGAACCATCACCAGTTATAGCTTTAGTGCAGTGCTTCATGTTGTTTTCCTAACACTTAGGCGAAAATTGTATGTGCCTTTTGAAAACGTCCCCAATTATTTTTCTAGAAAATACTTAACCAGAATATTACAGTAGAAGAATGCACATGACAGACTTTGAGACATATTCTTTTGCCTGTTTTCTTTTTCACCGGTTATTTGGGAAAATTGAGATATAAGTGACAATGTATGTCACTAAGTAACAATACATTGATGACACTGTAGACTATCAATAAAGGCGCAATAAAGGCATTAAGTAGAATGTAATTTTGAAGTACCTTTGCCTTCTTAAATACAGGATTCAAGCATCATAAATTTGTTTACATGGAATGTATTCTAGTTTGAATTGGGGCTTTATAAAAATGCAGTTTTTGGTTAGTCTTGAGATAAAAAAAAAATTTTCTCCCCATTATTTTTAGTCCAAGTATTTTGAGGATTTCTTACTATTTTTTCTAAATTTCTGATACTGTCTTTTATTTTTATGCTCCATGTGAGTCATCTTGTCACTGGAAAGGGATGGGGGTCAAGGCTGTTCTACCCCTGCCTGGCCTGAAATGTGTGGGTTCTTCACTTCATGTAGGAAAGGTTTCATGACAGGAGTCCAGGTGATTTTGAGTGTGTGTTTCTTAAAGTTGGGACAGGGAAACAAAGGACAGGTTTAAGACAGAAGAGGCAAGGTCACAGAAACAGGAGTGAGCGTAGACGGGGCTACCTAGACTTCGGTAAGGAAGTCACAGTAACGGGAGTGAGCCATGCTGGGCTGCCTGGACTCAGAGAACACGTTATAGAGGCAAAGGAGAGTCCTTAGAGACAGTACAAGGGCTTAGCCTGGGACAGGCTGCCACTGCCCACTTCTCCCCAGGCTGCAAGTCTTGTGAGGTCCCGTAGAGCTTGCGGAATTAAGCAAAACTATGCTCTTGAAAAAAGGTGAGGAAGGTGCACAGGCTGGAGAAAGCACCATGGGGCCCTTTGTCTTAAGAGGTTTTTATCTGTTTTCTAAAGGTGGGCGCTTTAGGAGAGCTCTAAGGGGAAGGTCACAATAAAATATTCAAAAGCTTTCCAGGTGTGTCTTTTGCTAGACTGATGAACCAAAATGAGCTTGTAGGGGAGTTTAGGATCCCTCTCTGGTCAGTTTCATTGCTTTACTTTTATCTTGGATTTGTCTGGTTAATTGGGTTTTTATTATTTATTCCCCCAACTTAATTTGTTCTGGGGTTTGGCTGGCACTAGTGACACTAATTGGGTTTCTGTTATCTATCTCCCTGACCAGAGTGACGTGCGCTACCCAACTCTCCAGTTGGGGAGGAGAAGTATAAACAATTTGCTCCTAAGTGTCCTTGGTCAGGAAAAATGAGATCTTGCAATTTATTTGCAGGCTGTTAATTGCTTGGCCTTGTTTAACTATTTGTCTCAGTTTTCCTCCAATTTCCAAGGAACTTTCCTAGCATCTTACTATCCTGATTAAACTTTAATAGGGAGAATTGAGGCCAGGAGTTGCCTTTTCCCTTGCCTTATTTAAAAAAAAAAAAAAATTGCCCTTAAACGTTTTGGTCTTACTAATCTCCTAATACTCTTAAAAATAATTAAGGATCCCAACAATCCTTTGTTTCTGTGGACTACATTGATTAATATTTACCATATTAAAAAAATTAAGATAAATTTTAATTAATTCATTTTTAAATTAACCCATTACAACATAAGGATAAGTAACATTTTTGTGAAAAATAACCTTTCCAAAAAACACTAAGAGTGGTACAGTTTTCAATTTGGAGCTCTCTTTAGTGTGTGGCTTAATGGAAAACAGCTCAATTCTCAAAGCTGCTCCTGCATTCAGTCTGTTGTGATATACTGTTTCATTTGCAGTATGTGAAGAAAATCACAAATAGGTGATTAAGAGGAGTACTTAGTAGCCTTTTTAAATTATCAAGGGTGTTTTGATTTAATATTACAACACAGCTCAAGTAAAACTTTCTTAAAGGTTAGTTTGCAACATAGAAGCTAAAACTGTATCAAATTTTTTTGTACTTCATTACATTAAAATCCACTGGTCTGTTTTGCGATTTTGAATGGATCTTTTACCCATGCATGATTGGTAACGTGTTTGATTATTTGGAAAGTATTGGTTCACTTTGCAGATCTTGCAAAGGTTGGTATATTTTATGATTCCATACCCCCCCCCAAAATCCATTAATGTTACTACTGATATAACCAGTGTTCTAAAATTCTAGTTTTCACTTGAAATCTCTTCATTCCTGAAGTGAAAGGCACAACCCTTTTGGCTCACTTTTGTGAAGTGTTTGATATAGGTATTCGATATCCACGTCTGAGTAGCTAGTTTGCCAGTTGTTTCAAGTAAACTGGCGTTCGTCCTGGGAGACAGTGGCTGGTTCAACCTGCAGCTCATCACGAAGGGGCTTTCGCTTCAGGCAGCCATTGCGTTTCAGTACATCCCAGACGTGCTTTGTGCGTGTTTCCATTTTGTTCCCCAGATGATTAAAAAGATGTGTATTTATGGGTCAAGATTTAATAAAATTAATCATTTGTATTGCTTTATTAAGGATCATAAATGAAACTGGCTTTTTCTCCTTGCCAGTGCATGGTAGTGAAGCACGCAGGCGTGGGTACTGGAGACCGGTGTCACTGTCTTGAGTTGTATCAAGAGGCCAGCAGTTTTACCCACTGCTGCTGTTGTTTCATTATATAAATATCAACAGAGCAAAAAGGGCAAGTAAAATGTTAATATTGTGATGAAAGTAGTTTTGACTTTACAGGCCCTCTGAGAGGGTCCCAGGGACCCCCATCGGTTGATGGACCATGTTCGGAAAACCACTGCTCTGGTGTTGATCAGCTTTGAGAGTGAGTAGGAGTTGTCATAAGTAGCAGTAACTAGAAAGATGTAAGCTGCAGCTATATTCCTTTGTCTTTTAAGTTTTGATCATACTCCAGACTTTTTTTTTTTTAACTATATGCAGGTCAAATTAAGGGAAGTTTTTAAGACAAAGAGTACTATTTATGTAATCTTAAGTGGTAAGTGTATTCATAAAAATTACAGAATAATTGTGAATTAATATATCCTTTCTTTGCAGTTATCATGAATTCCTTTACATTTTGCTCATTTAATTGTCACAACACATCTTTGGGTATGATCTCTTAATGTCATCTTTAATAGGTTAATTGACAGACTATCCTTCCCAAAATCACATAATGGAAATAGATCCATAATTGATTTGAAGCTACAGTGCTCATTACAGTACTTCTTGCCACGAGCCATTGAGAGATGACATAATATAAAAAGAGCCTAAATTCTACAGTTGGATGAAATTTAGTTGAGAGCCCTGCATCCCCATTCGTTAACTTTGTAACATTGGGCATGTAATTTAGCCTATTCAGTCCTGATGAAAACATGCATTCTCAGTAATAGCATTTATTGATACTTTATACAGTTGTGTGTATTAAATAAAATAATCCTGATAAAGCAGATTCCAATGTACCTAACACATACTAAATATGCATTAAATATTTTTCTCTCTTTCTGCTTATTTTCTACAATATTTTTTGTTTTTTGGACAAATGTTCCAGATTTGTTCAAAAAACAAATCTGGAGTTTTTTCCCCCTAATGTTCCCTTCCCTCTTCTCATTACATCATTTAAAGGAGTATTTTACTAGATAGGTTGATAATACAAATAGGGTAAATCTTTGTACACTTTTCAGATCACCCATTGGTTTCAGAAAGAACAGAAGTTGGAGAAAAGTCTGTATAGCTACTTTAAATAAGTGGAGTAAAATGAGAACACCATATTATACATATGCCATGTGTTGCTCAAAATTTTTATTATTGATTCCAATATCTTGACTCTCTCTTGTTACATTCAAAAATATTCTCCTAGAATCCAGAACAGTTGATCATTCAGCAGACGAAGAGGATGGAACACAGCATGCCTCCGAAAGTAAGGATGATCAGAGCTCACCTTCCAATAGCTCGAGTTCTCTGGAAGAAGAGTTTTCGTCAATAGGTTGGTGATTTTGTAATTTTTTAAAGAATTTTATTTCTAATATCATTATTTTCTATACCAGTGATATTATTATTAATAACATAAACTCTAGTGAAGTATGGGGCAAGTAGTTATTACTAATGGTGGTCAGAGTTTCCATATTGAGTGCTCATTTCCATTACATAACATACCTAGGGTCAGACAGCTTATAGGAGGCACAACTAAGATTCAAACCCAGTCATTCTGCCCCAGAGCCTGTGTTCTTAGCTACTGTGCTGTAGTGGGTAATTCACGTCCATATCTCAAGGACAGTAGGAGTTTGTCAGTGAGGAAGTTTGAGGTACAGGATGTAGCATATATAAAACTCTAAGAAAGATAACATAGCATGTGTAGAGAACTAAAAATAGTTGTTGGGCTGAAAATATTGGAGTTTCAGAAAGAGAAACAAAAAGTAAACAAGCAGAGGGACAAATCAGAGTCAGGCAAAATAGGGCTCGGGGGAACTACTGAAAATTTTATGTAACTAGATGACATGACCATTTTTGTGTTTTAGAAAAATCAATCCAGATCCAGGGTTGGCGAATTACCACCTGTGGGCCAGATCTAACCCACCACCTGCTTTTGTAAATAAAGTTTTTGTAGCCACACTCATTCCATTTTGTATTTTCTGAGGCTGCTTTTGCACGGCAGAGTTGAGACATTGACAGAGACTTTACGGCCCACAAGGCCCAAAATGCCTTTTACTGTATCTCAAGGGTTCATTAGTTGTTATGTGCTCTGTTTCAGTCTCATGAAACCTAAAACCAGTTCTGAGGAAATAAAGTAAAATGCATAGCTTTATAAAGGAAACAAACGAATTTTCAAAGAACATATATTTTCAAAGAAAATAACATTTTCAAAGAAATGTGCTTTATTAACTTGTTAGGTAAGAACCAATAGCTACTGTAATTTTTTTCTTACACAAGGCTACAAGATACAGATACTTAGCAATGAAATCTAGTAGACAAGTGAAGCCTTAGCTAGACTCTAGCTACAGCACTGTCCTGTGGAACTTTCAGTGATGGTGTAAAAATTCTGTATCTTACTATTCAGTGCATTAGCTGCTGATCACATCTGGCTGGAGAGCTCTCGAAATGTGGCTAGAGCAGCTAAGGAACTGGATTTTTAATTTGATTTAAATAGTAACATAGGGCACGTGGTTACTATATAGAAGAGTGCTGCTATAGAAGATGGTAGATTGGAAAGGGTAAGACTAATTGTAAAATATTGCGGCACTGAGCACCCAAGGAAAAAGGCAGTGTTTGGAAATGTGCGGGATAGTTTTTAGTTGTAGTGACTGAGGTGCTGCTGGCAGTAGTGCCCTGGGAGCAGGCAGTGAGTGTCTTGCAGGGTGCGGGACAGTTCACAGTAAAGGATTGTCCCTCCGCAGGTGCCCCTTTGAGAAACACTGATTGGAAGTTGAAAACTTGTCCTGTGAGGAACACTTTTATCTTCTTTTTTCTGGAGAAGAAAAGGTGTAGAGGGAATATTAAGATTAAGGACTGGCATGTGGAAGGAGTACATTTATTTTTGCAAATGACTGAACCGTTAGAATGATCCAGTAATGGAATGTTTGTCCTTAGATGTTCAGTGTTGCAGCAACTACTTGTTACCAGTGGGGCATGGTGTTTAACCTCTACCCCTTAGATAGGATATAAAATTTATGAGTTATAAATCTATAAAAACATGTTTTTTATTATTATAAAGCATTATGCTGACTTTATTTATTAATCGCATATCTGCCCAGCGTCTGCCACAGGAGAACCCTTGAGCTGCATGTTAGATATGGACAGGACAGGATAAAGTACTGTTTTTCTCTTGAATTTTTCTTTATTGTCACTTAAGAGGATTAGCTTTATGTAGCACTAATGTATCACCAGTGAGTCCCTTCATTGTGATTTATTAATTAAATCTTAACGAGTCATTTGCAGGTGACTACTTCCAACTCAAATATTTCTGTTTCTGTTTTCATACACTTGAGTATTTAAACCTACATGCATCATCTTTACCTGGTTGCATATTAAAATCCCCTAGGGGCTCAGATCAGCTGAGTCCTGACCTCTGGGCCGGGGGCCTGGGTACCGGCAGATGATCCATCTCCCCAGGTGATTCTAATGCAGCCGGGGTCAAGAAGTGCCAGTATAACCTGTTGTGATGAGTTTGAATTTTAATTTTGCTGTAGGTTATATACCAGCTGTCTCTCTCAGCTTTAAAGACATACCAGGTTGTCTTCAGTTACATTCAATAAAATCATTGAAATGAGGCAAAATATAGAACCCTCTGGCATTACATTATAATCAACATTTTTTAGGGAGGAGTAGTTATTCAGCAGTTAAGAATCCAGTGCATTATGTGATTTCCCCCACCTATTTTAACATTACCCACAAGGAGAACATGCCACTGCAACTGTTAAATGCTTTGGGAGGATGAGAAGACACCTAACCTGTATCATGTTCCTGGATAAATACTAATCTATAAAAAGTAAATCACTTGATTTGATATTCCTTGTTTGTTTTTTTGTTTGTTTGTTTTTTAATCTTCACCTGAAGATAAGTTTACTGATTTTAGAGCCAGTGGAAGGAGGGGAGAGAGAAACATCCATCAGTTGCCTCCCATATGTGCCTGGACCGGGGATCGAACCCACATCCTTTTGGTGCATATGATGACACTCCAACCAACTGAGCCACCCACCCAGGGTGATATTCCTTGTTTTTAATGAGCATATATGTTTCTAGTGATTGCCACCTACTGCTTCATAATTAATGCAAGCACTTTTTGTTTTCCTTAGGACTGGTTATTACATATATTGGTCTGTGATTTCTGAAATCTGTCTCTTTTATTCTGTTTCAGAAATTGGAACATTTCTAGTCCTGGCCACGTAGCTCAGTTGGTTAAAGCATTGCCCCACCACACCAAGGTTGCCGGTTTGATCCCAAGTCAGGACACAAAAAAAATCAACCAATGATTGCATAAGTGGAACAACAAATTGATGTCTCTCTCTTGCTTTACCTATCCTCCTAACCCCTTCCTCTGTCTCTCTAAAATGAATAAGTAAAATTTTCTTTTAAATTGAAACATTTCTGCATCTCCAGCAATTTATTTTTTCTATTTATTTTTGAAAGAGCTTGGACCAACACGTGGGAAAGAAGAAGTTTGACTTGAGCCTCAGTGAATTGACACCCTAACTAATATTTTGAAGTGTTTGAAATGGTGAAGATTTCTCTTACCATTTTGTTTAACCTTAGCGTTTTACATAAGAAACCATTTCTTCCCACAGTGTAAAGATTAATTTTAGATCGTGCATGAAGAAACTTGTTTTGAATCGGAAGAGGGCCTATTAATAAGGTTATACTCTATAAAATAAAGAAAAAATGAAACAAGACTCTATTAAAAGATGTTATCTTTTAAGTCTCTCATTCATCTGATACTTTTTCATTTGGTTCATTTAAAGATAAGTTTTAATAATTAAAAATTATTTTTCTTTATCAGAATAATTTTCTTCCATTACTGATGTAGATTTTGAGCCATTTATATTCATATCAAAATAATAAAGAAATTACAAAACTGGTATCTTTTTTTTTATTTAAATGTGAGGAATATTTATTTCTGCTGGTGCTTGGTTTTCAATATCCTCTTCATTTCTTTCAGTAAATATCCCTGATGCAGCTTTTATTCAGGCAGCCCGCAGAAAACGTGAATTGGCCAGGACCCAAGAGGACTATATTTCTCTGGACGTCAAACATACTTCCACCATCTCTGATATGAAGGAAAACAGCGATGAAGATCCTGAGAGTGAGCCTGATGACCATGAAGAGAGAATACCATTTACTCCAAAGCCCCAAACACTTAAACAAAGAATGGCTGAAGAAACAAGTACATATTTAATTTACTTACAATATATGACTATAAAGGCTTGTTTGCTAGAATATAATATTATGATAAAACTTCCATGAAAAAAATAATGTAGTGTCTCATATGCTAATGGGTGTTGAAGTTGATTTTCATTTAGTACCAATGTGGTCAGTGACATTATGCCTGATAAAGACATGTCTATCAAAATGTTATCAAAGGGTGTGTGTAATATTGTTTACTATTATTTGATTTCCACTCTGTTTTTTGACAGGTTAAAAAAAATCCACACTGTCTTATTTTTGATATTGAAAATTTTTACTGTCACCTTTATAAAGGTTTGTGTTTTTTTTAATGGAAGCATCTACAGGGATTTTAGGTGTCGGGTATTAAAATCTTCCCGGCTACTATAAAAGATTTCCTCAACCAATAATCTTTAGGTCTCAGAGAACTGTTTTCACATTTCTCATTTATAAACAATATTATATTTTACTAATATTTTTGTCACTTCAAATAGTATAATTTCAGAATGAGATTTGGTTCCTTATAACCCCAAAACTATTTCTAGATATTTAGATTCTCAAGTAGAATTAAGAAATAAGGGACGCCAAATGTTTCTTTTTCTTCAAGCTTTTTTAATGAGTCTATATAGCGCTTTGAGTGGGAGAATTTGGTGACAAATGCAGTCTCTGAAGTTAGATCTATTCCCGCTTCAACACAGTCCTCGGACAAATTATTTGACCTTTTAATATCTGAGTTTCCTCATTTATAAAATGAGGGTGACAATAGTGCCTTCCTCCCAGAATTATTGTGAAGAATAAGTTAACACAGGCAAAAAGCTGCTAAGCCAGCACCTTATAAGCCTCCCAAAAATGTTAGCTACTGTATTAGAAAGGGGGAAATATTGAATATTTATACGTGAACTGTTTTTCCTAGCAACCAGAAATGAAGAAACAAGTGAAGGAAGTCAAGAGGATGAAAATCAAGATATTTGGGAGCAGCAGCAAATGAGGAAAGCAATTAAAATCACAGAGGTAATAATTCTTTCATATCATGTGCATTAGTTTCCCGTGACTGCTGTAACAAATTACCACAGATATGGTGGCTTAAAGTAAGAGACATTTATTCTCTCCCAGTTATGGAGGCTAGAAGTCTGAAATCAAGGTGTTGGCAGGGCTGTGCTCCCTTTGAAGACCAGAGGAGAATGACTTTCCTGCCTTTTCCAGTTCTGGTCACTCCAGGTGTTTCTTGCTTTGTGACTGCATTACTCCTTTACCTCCTTCACGTGGCCGCCTTCTCTCAGCTTCTACACTGTGTGCCTCTTATAAGGACACTTCATGGAGTCAAGGCCCTCTTGGTAATTCAGAATGATCTCATCTGAGGTGCTTCACTTAATTGCACCCACAAAGACCCTTTTTCCAAATAAGGTCCTATTTGTAAGTTCCAGGGGTTAGAATATAGATATATCTTTTAGGAAGCCATTATTTAACCCACTACTCTTATCTATCTATCTATGCTTTTTTGAATAGATTTTGAACACCTTCCATGTATTTATTATAAGCCACTTAAGAAGACCATATCTTTTTTTATCTTTAAATGTATAGTAACTAACAGCATATAGTATAAGTTGCTTAAACATAAAGTTTAAACAAATAGTGAGGTATAAAGCAAAGCTCACAACCAAAAAAATATTTCTCGTACTTAGAGTTGGAAGTTCTGGATTTGGGTTCTGTCACTACCACTAAAGCATACATTCCATGAGGTTAAGAATTATTAACTATTTTGTTCAGTGTTACATCCCACAGTCCCTAATATTGTGAGTGCTCTATAAATATTTGTGTGACTTTGAGCAAATCATTTACTTTTTCTAAATCTCAGTTTTCTCATCAATAAAATGGGAATGATAGTGTTACTTAACTGAGTATGCTGTAATGCTTATAATTATAATAATCTAAATCACAGTGCTTATCAATTGTATAATAGTATACAAATACCTGGTTTTATTTAATCTTTCTAATAAGAATGCTTTAAAAGAGTATTTGCTCTTTTAGTAAGAAAGTAGTATAAAATCTCCATGTTATTAAAACTGAAAAACTGAGTAAAGGTAGGCTTTTGGTTGTAATTTAGAAATCTCTGTACAGGGAAAAGATTTAGAGCAGCAGTCCCCAACCTTTTTGGCAACCGTTTAGTGTAAAATGATTTTTCCGTGGCTGGAGGGAGGAGGTGGAGGGATGGTTTCAGGATGATTCAGGCTCGGTACATCCAAGCACACCTCCTGGTGTGTAGCCAGGGTCACCAATTGGGGACCCCTGGTTTAGAGGACTATTTTACGACTATAAATGCTTTGGGGAAAAAAAATGCCACAGCTCTTATTCTTAACTGCTCAAGTTTGCATAATTCCTTTTTACTTTAAATTGTCAACATAAGAAACATCCAAACCTATAAAAAATTTTTATGATTTTATTTGAGCCAATCTGATGGCAGTTGCTGGGGTGCAAAATCTCAACGGATTGATATTTTGCTCCCAAGAATAGCGGCTTTGCACCTTATTTTATACATTACAAAGAGAAGGTATAAGAGGGTTACATGAAATACATTGGTGATAAATAGATTAGGGAGGTAGGAGAAAGCAAAGCAGGGAAATCTCTGGGATTGGACAAAAAGTAAAATGAATAGACACATACTTCTTTTACATTTGTAGGTATAGGATAGTTAATAGTCAGCAGTTAACAGATACAGGAATAATGAGGGAATTTGTGGTCTCTGGTGAGGTGGTTGTGCTTTGAGGGGTGCAGAAAAAATGAAATTACGTTGATACTCCAAAGGTATGTGATCAGGTATGTTATCTTAAATGCAAAAAAGATGACATGCTCCGTTGAAGTGAAGATTGACCTTTGTTAATTAAGGAAAAATACCACCATCGGGCATGACTGCTAGCCATGAACTGCTTTTAGTTAGGAAGATTTCATTTCAAACCATCCCTCATGGTTCCTTTGGTCTCTGTGTTTGTAAGGCTGCCAGTCAGGCCTCCCCTCCGCCTTTCAGGTTGACTCTGGGGCTCCCTTTTCCATCCACAAGAACAAAACTAGCTTTTAAATACACTGGGAACCAAACTTTTGTGTAAAATAAGATTTTGTAATTTGCCTCTTGCATGTTAACTTAAAGTTCTAAATTTTAAAATTATAAGAGTTTCGAAAATATTGCACTTATGAAAAATGTCAATGTTTGGAATTTTGAGCTGGTGAAATCGTTAAGTATGTAATCTGCTTTTATGCTATTAATAATTGTGAAATTAATGAACGTTGAAAACAACACTAATTTTTGTATTATTTTTAGGGACGAAACATAGATCTTTCCCACAGTAGTGAATTTCAAACAGTGAAGAAATTTGATACTTCCATTTCATTCCCACCAGTAAATTTAGAAATTATAAAGAAGCAGTTAAATACTAGGTAAGTAATATCCATATTAAAATTTACATTTACCCTAGACATTTAACAACAAAAAAATTAGCACTAAATAATATAATCTTTTAAACTACTAAATATAAATACTAATTTTAAACAGATTTTTAGAAAAAATAACGTCACTAACTCAACTAATTTTCTTATATGTCTTTTTAGTCTTTAAAATAGGTATATATTACATGGTTAAAATCCATAAATATCAAATTCTGCTTTTTTTACTTAATGTTTTTATAAGTATTTATCTGCATTGTTAAATAGCCTTTAATTTTTAAAAATAAATATGTTGGGAGTGATGACAGCAAAATGCCAGAATATAAAACCCTAGACCTCATTCCTCCACAGAGGTACCAACTTAACAACAATATATATTTAAAAGGCCTTTATGAGAACTCCAGAAACCCTTTAGGAAGTCACAGTATCCCAGGCAATCTCAAAGCCAACCTTAGCCGCGTTGTAATGGGTGAGAAAAGCCATTTCATTTCAACTGCATTAACCTCTCCCATAAGCGAGCACTGCTTGTAATAGAGAGAAAAATGTAATTACAGGCCTTAATTGTGATAACATAGAAATGGAAGCCACCTAAATATTCATCAACAATTGAATGGATAAAGAAAATGTGGTATTTATACACAATGGAGTATTATCTTCCTAAAAAAAAGAAGGAAATCCAACATGGATACACCTTAAGGACTAAGTGAAATAAGCCAGTCATGAAGAGATAAATACCACATTATTCTACTTATATGAGGTATCTAAAGTAGTCAAACTCTAGAAACAAAGTAGAATGCGACTTGCTAGGGGTACGGGGATGGGGAAAAGAGAAAAGAGCTAGAATTACAGCTATTTCATCTAGTATTGCATATAATTCTGAATTTTATGCAAAAGGGAAAGGTAGGAAAGACTGAAACTATCCTGTAATGAGCTTGAGCACCTAGAAACCTCTTAAGTGTCCTTTTCTGCCTTTCCCTTTGAGGCAGCTTTCTTTGTGCTGCTCTCCTTTGCTAAGTCTCTTAAGCCCAGGTTTATGTGCTTGTCCGTTTCCTTGGCAGCCCCTGTAAGGTGGCTTTGAAAAAACTTTCATCAGACTGCTACTTACTATAGTAGAAGTGAGAGTCTGAAAAGTCAGTGTTTATTTATCTCTTATTTTATTTATATAGATTAACATTGCTACAGGATACGCACCGCTCGCACCTGCGGGAATATGAAAAATATATAGAAGATGTCAAGAGCTCAAAGAATGCCATCCAGAACCTAGAGAATTCATCAGATCAAGCCCCAAATATTAAATTCTATAAAAGCATGAAAATTTATGTGGAAAATTTAATTGACTGCCTTAATGAAAAGGTACATGGCTATAAAGATTTATATTATTTACTTTTTTAGAGAAATTCCCTTACCATGTGATATACAAAAAGCCTAAATCCCACAACTGACTGTTTTTCTTCTACATTTTTATATACTATGATATTAAGCATTCTCTTCCTGTTTGATAATTATAGGGTATTATCAAGTTTTGTATATAAATTTTTGTGTTAAACTATCATCTGCTTGAGAAAAATTCCTAGAAAGTGAATTATTAAGTCAAAGGGTCTAGGTATTTTTAAGGCTTATGAAACATTGCTAAACTGTCCTCCAGAAAGATTGTATATTTTATTTTTAGTTTACTACATTTTAAAAAAGGTTATTGTTTTTACATATTTATTTTGATCTCAGACAAACCCTTTGTTTTATTAATAAATGTAGTTTTTCTTCTCTTGAATTGCTTTTCTCCTTTGCCCACTTATCTTTTTGGTTCATAGCGGCAATTTTTCCTTTCTTTTTTTGTTTTTCTGCCTATATGTTATGAACAGTTTTTATTGCTTTAAATTTTTAATGCTTTCTCCTACTTGACATAGATAAACTTTCCAGTTTGTTTTGTCTTACGGTTTTATTTATGGTGTTTTTTTGACATCCACAAGTTTTGAAATATTTGTGTTAATCAGATTTTTTAATCATTTTTTCCCTTTAATAGTTTCTGGTGTGTTTTACACATTCTAAGTCCATACATTAGGGTCCTGAGTTCCTTTTTTTTTTTTTACCATTTTAGAAATATACTCTACTTCCCACATTACTTTTTTTACTTACTTTTGTTTTAAGTTGACTACCTTTTAATGACACTTGGTAGGTCCTTTCTGAAGTATATATTATGATGTAATATTCATCGTTCATCCTGGAAGAAGAAGGCTGTTAAAAGTCTTGCAGGACTACCCATTGATGTATCCATAGCAGCAGGTATGGAACATCATTGAAGTAGGGAAAAGTTATCCCAGAAATACTTGCATAAGAATGCCAGTTTCAGTTAATCGCTCATTTCTGCTTCACAGCTTTCTTACCTATCCGGTTAGGTCTCTTCCATTCTCCACTGCATTAATTAAAATAATAATTTTACCAGTTTCCTCAAGCACCACCCCCAAGACACAACAGTCTGCTCCCTCAGCCTGTAAATAATGGTTGCACCCATCATTTCTTCCTCCTTTTCTGTCTCAAAGAAGAATCCTTCTTATCCATGTTCCTAATTTCAGCCCATTTGGTTTCGTTATTTATGATACTTATAGCTGGTCTAGTAGGTCGATTTTCTGGTTATTATTAGTATTGAAAGTATGTGCAACTAGGTCTGTTCCTCACAGCATTTTTTTTGAGATGTGATAGTGTGAAAATGTTTCTTTATATGAGAATAGAGCATATATAGATGCTAATACATAAATACTACATTTTATTATATTTTTATCGATGACCCACAAAATGTTACTTATATATGTATTTCAGATTACCAACATCCAAGAAATAGAATCATCCATGCATGCACTCCTTTTAAAACAAGCCATGACCTTTATGAAACGCAGGCAAGATGAATTAAAACATGAATCAACGTATTTACAACAGTTATCACGTTAGTGTTTTTCATCTTCAATATGATTTATTACTCATTAAGTTAAGTTGTCAGCTGGAGAATAAAAATATTTTTATTCCTGTATTTAAAAAAATGCTTTTTGCGTATTTTCCTACAAACCTTTAACCCATTTTCTTCTAAAAACTCCAAAACATCTAGAGCTAGGGCTTTAAAATGTCTTAAGCATAAGACTAAAAAATAAAAATTACAATTTCTAATTACTTATTATTGAGGCAGAATATTTATGTTGCCATTTAATGACTGTTTTGATAAGAGTAGACATAAATTTACAATGCGTCAGAAATCTAGTTTTATAAAGTTTCACAAACTTGTTATGGAGGTTAAAGAAATTCTGGTCGATTTCAGTATAAAATCATATGTAAGGTCTCATATAAGATTAGGATGCAACTTTTTAGTTCTCACACAGGTTTTGTATTTTCTGAGATGTCTTCTTCTGATTCAGGTGCTCTCAGGGGATAGTGAAAGTGATGAGACCGCTATCAAGTAGGTCATAATAGCAAAAGCAGAATGACTTTCAAACACATGACGTTTAGTTGGTCATGATTTATGGTACATACTAAAATAGGATATAATATGAATAACATTGGTAATGCAAATGTATGCACTTAGCTACAGGAACAAAAAACTGGTGAAAAGTACTAAAAAATATATGAGAGAAAGAAGCTAAACAGTAGAATTTTTTTATTGTCTTCAAGTGCTGAACTATATTCTCCGGCCAAAGTACATTTTCTCAGGCTTGCAAACTAAATGCCTATTAATGTTGTGATAGGGAGTTAACATGGCAATTTCATTTCATGATGAAATATAAAACTTAAGTATATTACTGTGTGTTTATATATACACACATGTATTCATGCCCAAGATAAAACTTTTATTTTCAAAGTGTTGTACTTTCTTTTGAAAACAGGCAAAGCTGAGACATCAACAAATGGAAGCTTAGCTATAGATGAAAAAACTCAATGGATTTTAGAAGAAATCGAATCTCGAAGGTAGCTATATAAAGTGAAGACTTAAAGCTTCATTGAGCAAGTATTTTTCACTACTTAAATATAATTAACCATACGGTATAATTAACTGTAACCTAACAAGTTAACTTGTGAGAATGATGTAAAACCAAAATATAGTTTAGCAGGCTTAATATACTTGAAATACTCGATCCCAGGGTTTAAAAACACACTGGTGTATTTGGATCAGTCAAAAGGAATAGATAAAAATGGCATTTATCTGGCTCAGAATTGCTAAGTAGAAGCCAGTCCAAATTGTGTTGTGACCCATTCTTCAAACTGGGTGGCCTATGGTAATGTCCTAAGTGGGAATGTCTTATAAGTATAAAGAGGGAGAACCACCAGTTCACATTAGTGAAGCTAAAATGTCAAAAATATTAACATAAAATGTGTGCTATTATAATGCTGTACTTCTGGACATTTTAAATAAATTATGACTTCTTTCTGCTTTAAAGCATTTACTTTCAGCAGGAGCTATTTGTTTTTAATTGACTTTTGGTTTATTGCAAAACACAGGGCACGAAGAAGGCAAGCAAGGGCGCTTTCTGGGAATTGTGATCCTCAGGAGGGGGCATCTAGTGACGATGAACTGTCTTCAGCAGACATGATTGACTTCCAGAAAAGCCAAGGTCAGTCACCAAGTTTCTAATGTACCTTTATGTGAAGTATTGAAATGGTGGGAATTGCTTTGCAGTGATTGCCCTTAAATATATAAACTATAGAAAACAGTGGGGAAATTTCAGGGAAAAAAAGAACATTTTTTTTTCCTTTAATACTTTTCCTATTTCTGAAAAAATGGGATAAAATGGAGGAGCATTGTACGTTTTACTGCATCTTTACAGTTTGTTTATTTTTTCTTCAGCCTTTCTCATCTCTTGTTATAAAGGAACCGTGGACACTTTTGGTTTTATTTTTCCACCACATACTTTCTATATTATCATTTGTAATTTAAAATAATTGAATATAGAAAAGCCAGTTAGCATTATGAGAAGGTAAAATACTTATAGTTTAAAGAATTGTGGCCTTTACAGAGTTTCAAGAGGGATTCTATTCTGTGTGATCTTGTATAGATTCCTTGTCCTCCCTAAATCTGATGTTGTTCATTTGCTTGTTTATTGTCTGTAAATAAGCAGGCTAATAACACCTACCTTTTAAAGAAGATAGTTGCGATGAAAGAGATAATGTATTTGTAATGTATTGGCATATAGCAGGGGCTCAGTAAATGGTAGATTTTATCAGTGTTGATATATTATTAATACTAAAATGGTTTTTTAAGAAAAGCTAATTTATGTGTTAATATCAAAGGAAAGTTTTCGACTCAATTGGTTACATAGTTTATATGTCTGTTTATAGGAAGCACATTTAAAATGCATTATAACACTCAATTTGTTCACAGATGACATTTTACAGGATCATAAGAAGATTTTTGAAGACGTGCATGATGATTTTTGTAATATCCAGAATATTTTGTTAAAATTTCAACAATGGCGAGAAAAGTTTCCTGATTCTTATTATGAAGCTTTTATTGGCTTATGCATACCGAAGCTTTTAAATCCCCTAATACGAGTTCAGTTGATTGACTGGAATCCTCTTAAGGTATTTAAGCTTACCATGTGAAGAAAATAATCCTGATCACATCCATTACTTCAGTTCTCCTGTTACCAGGTTGGCTGTAAAATACCGGCACCTTGCCTGTAGAATTGGAGTTGGTAATTGATGGTAATATTAAGAATCCTACAGTCTTGGGAAATCGGCATAGGTACCAGGAGTCCTGAAACTGCAGATGACTTACTGGAAATAGATGGTTAGTAAAGCTCCTGCACTGAGGAGGAGGAATTTGAATGGGGATTTTTAAGGTGTATAGGATTTAACAGGAGGGAGAGAGAAAAAAGGTATTTTGTAAAGGTACATAAGGGGAAATAGAGTTCAGGAGCTAGACACTGCACAGATGTTCAGATCCTAAATTAAGAGATAAGAACTTGTTTTGATAAATAATGGGAGGAGTGACCTGATGAAAATAATGTTTTAAAAAATCCTAGCAGTAGATTAACTTAGAGGGAAGATAAAAGGCAAAGATATATACTGGAAGGATTTGTTGTACCCCAAGTTCTAAGTGATGAATTCCTTACTTAGGGTGATAGTGACAGTGGAAAGAGGGAAAAAAGTGTTGATTTTACAGGAGGTGTGATGAAGCAAGAATTAGTAAAATCATAAGAATAAACCGAAAACCCACATCCAAATGTGATCGCAAAGTCTGGGTCCTGGGTTCTTAGAACAATGGTAGTTCCATTAATAGCAATGGGAACTTTCCAGAGAGGGAAAGGGTTTTGAAGGAAGTTTCACTTTATAGATAATGAAATAGTAACAGGACGTCCATCTAAATATGCCTAGTAAGCAAATAGAAATGAGATAATAAAATTCTAGGAAGAGGAGAGAGCTGAAGGTAAAAATTTAACAAAGTGAAGCATAGAGCCATGTCCTTCTATCTTTATCTGCCCTAGTCATGCATGCCTGTTGGCTCTGCGTTAGGTGAAAGGCCATGCAGTCTTCATAGTAAGGGGACCAAACCTATCACTAAGAAAGTGGTAGTTACCTGATGGGACAGCAGCCTAGTCATTAACCACTGAAGCTGAATGGAGTATGCTGTAATGACCCGCAGAGATCTGTTCATTCATTCATTCAGTAACTAGTAATTAGCATGCAGAATACACATTTGAGCCTATGAGAACTGAGAGGGCTAGAGGTAAATTTTGCATGAGGTAAATACATTTTTTTAAATGTTAATGTTGCTCCTAACTACTTGCAGTGTGTTCGACTTTGGACAAACGGTGGGCATTTTGGGGGTGATTGTCATACAAAAGAGTGTTTGAAAGGCATGCATATTACATAGACATCCTGTCTTAGTCATGTCATCCTACCAAGCCCTGGTGTTATAGTGCTGTATATGAGGAGTTAAAATATGCCGTTATTCTCCTTTGATCCTTAGAAAGCTCTGGTGGTTGCTGAAAAAGTTATCCGTTTAAAAATAAACTGATGTTTAAGAATTTATTTATAACTTTGATAATTGTATTTATAAGTTTGATTCAATAGGTTTAAAACAGATGTCGTGGTTCACATCTATAGAAGAATTTATGGATAGCAGTATGGAAGATGCAAAGAAGGAAGACAGTTCTGATAAGAAAATCTTGTCTGCTGTCATCAACAAAACAATTATTCCTCGACTTACAGGTATTTATTTGTAATCTTGATAAAGTGAAATTGTATGGGGGCGGAATGTAACATCATTACTTTCTGTTAACAGTCACAGAAGTTTTTGAATACAAGAAAATGTAATATGCAATAAAAATCAATGATGTCATAATTTAAGCTGGTTAAAAAAATGCTTGTTTATGCAATTGATTTGCTATCAAACTGTTGATAATCTTTGGCCTTTAGCATTTGTGACACTAGTGTTGCTTTTATAACTCCTAGATCATATATTAGTGGCACACTTCTGTCCCTACTACTGTATTTTTTTTCTTTTCCTTAACTTATCCCCTTATATTTCTTCTCTTTATTTCTTCGCTCTTTAAAAAAGATATTACTGCCGCTTCCTAACATCTGCCATGGCAACCAGGAGCACTTGCATTGAGGCATGTGCTTCAGTCTAAAGATGTGTTTCACCTGAGGTTGTACTTGGTAAGGATCTGTCATGAGGATGGATTCTGACAGCAAAGTCTGCATAACTCTTAAAAGATGAAGCAGCCAGCTTTATATTGCTTCTCAGCCAACTTGACTAAACTTTGAAGGTTTTTCTCTGTGCAACTTGCTATGCAATCACTATTGGGAAGTTACTACTTTTAAGTAGCTGTATTAGTGATAGCATAGAACGTGTGACTCATTTGAGTACTCTTTTGAAAACTCCAACTGGTTCATTTACAATTAAATAGTCCCTCAAATAAGTAGCATTATGAGAAATTAATATATATTTATTCTCATGTCCTATCTGGACCCTTTTGGCGCCCTTCTTGAGCTCCCTGGATAATTTCACACTCTCCTTTAGTGCCATCTGTATCTGTGTTGTTTAGCGCAGTAACCACTAACTATATGTGGCTATTAATATATAAATTTCTATGAAGTAAAATTAAAATTCATGTCTAAGTGACAGCAGCCATATTTTAAATGTGCAAAAGCCATATGAAGCTCCTAGATAGTGCAAATATAAGGCATTTTTTCTATCATTACAAAAACTTCTTTTGGATAGTGCTGCTCTACATAATTTTAAATCCAAAAGAACTAGAAAAACAAGTCTGGGTCTTTTCTTAGAGCACCAGATCTCTATTATCAAAGTACCTGTGAACACATCCACTTGCATATCTAACATGCAATTCAAATCCCACATGCAAAATCATACTTGCCATCTTTGCTGCAGACCTGCTCTTTTATATTCCTTATCTAGAAAATAGTACCTCGATCCACCCATGTATTCAAACCTGAACCTTCAAGTCCTGCAGTGTTTCCTCTTTCTTACCTCTTTATATAAGCAATGGCCAATACTGTTATTTTTCTGACCCATTTTCTATACTATAATCATACTCATCTGTCTAAAATGTGAGTCTGATTCTGTTTTACTTCACTTAAAACACTCTCGAACATAGCTTTCTAGGCCTTCAGAATCACATCTCGGTTTAGTACCTTTATTCCCTTCATCCCTTTATTCCTTCTCCTCATTCCCACCTCTCCTGCCCTCCATCTGTACTCTCCTAGGCATTTACATTTTGTATGCTCCTTCCAGTTACCCCCAAGCTGCACCTCTTTCATCTGGCTAAGTACTCACCACCTTTCAGGATTCAATATGGACATCACTTCTAGGAACTTGTTTAGGCATACATCTCTGGGTTCCTATAGCACTCTGGATTCTTACTAACGGTGGTGATTGTAATTGCCTATGTAAGCATGTGTATTTGCCATTAGACAAAGCTGTTCAAAGGCAGCTACCTAGTCTTATTGCTATGTCTCCTGTATTTAATGCTAGGCACATGGCAGGCTCTCAGTATTTGTAGACTGAGTATTTCTAAGGTTATTAGAGGCCTGACTTGCTAGATGTTTAAGAAATTGCTGTTTTGTTTTCGGCTTGGTTTTTTTTAACCTTTTTTTTCCTATTATTTAACTTGTATTTGATAAGGGTCTACCTGTGTCAGGCACTGTTACTGCTTCCACATATGTAGCAGTGAACAAAATAATAAATCCATGCCCTTATGGAGCTTACATTCTGTGAGGAAGACAGATGATAAGCAAAATAAATAAAATCTAGAGCATATTAGTTACAAGAGCTAAGGAGGAAAGTTAAGTAAGGGAAAAGGGTACAAATTATCAGAGAGAATTATCCAAAGAAACCTGAAACACAAATTTGAAGGAATATATGCATCTCTCTGTTAATTTGCAGCATTATTTACAATAGCCAAGATTTGGAAGCAACCCAAGTGTCCATCAGTAGATGGGTGGGGGAAAAAGCTGCGGTATATTTACACAATGGAATGCTACTCAGCTGTATAAAAGGAGATCTCACCCTTTGTGACAGCATGGATGGAACCCCAGAGAGCATTATCCTAGATGAAATAAGCCACTCAAAAAAAAAGACAAAAAACTATGTGATTTCACTCATATGTGGAATCTAATGATCAAAATGAACTAACAAGTAAAATAGAGACAGACTCATAGAGAGCAGGCTGACAGATGTCCAGGGGTGAGGGTGGGGGGATTGAGCAGAAAAGAAAAAGAGAGAAGACTCATGGGCATAGGTAACTGTGTGGTGGTTGCCCGGCAGTGGGGGAGGGAAGGTCGGCGAAGGCAGACGAGGGCAAAGGGAGGATGAATGGTGATGGCGGGAGACTAGACCTGGGGTGGAGAACACAGCCCAGGATCCAGATGGTGTGCTGTAGAGCGGTGCACATGAAACCTATTAATTTTTTTAACCAGTGTCACCCCAATAAATTCAATAAAAATGGGAAAAAAGAAAATTAAGAAACGTATAAGAAAGAGAAAATACATTTACAGTATTTATTGAAAAACATCCACATAAAGTTAAAAAAAAAAAAAGGATGAGCACAATTTAAAATAAGTGGGCCAGGGAAGGCCTTCCTGAGAAGGCCACAATTGAGCTTGAGCAGCTTTCAAAAGGAAGTGAGCCATATAAATATCTGGGTGAACAGCATCCAAGGCAGCAGAAACAGCAAGTACAGAGGCCTTGAGGCGGGAGCCAGCCTTATGTACTTGGCAAGTTGTGCTTAGGTCAGTGTAGCTATGGTGGAGTGAGCAAGAAGGAGAGTAACAAGAGGTTAGCAAGAATGGCAGGCATTGGTAAAGACTTTGTAAGGACTGTTAATCATTTACTGTAAGTGAAAGAGAACCACTTGAAGAGTTTTTTGAGCAGAGAAGTGGCATGATCTACCTTAACATTTAATAAAATCACTGTGGTTACTGTTAGGAGTGAACTGTAGGGAAGCCAATTATGAAGCTTTTGCAGTAATCCAAGCAACAGAATATAGTGGCTTGGATAGGATGTCAAAAGTAGAGGTGCTGAAAAGTGGTTGAATTCTGCACTTATTTCAAAGGTAGCACTGAAAGAATTTGCTAATACATTGGTTGTGGAGCAAGAGAGAAAGAGCAGACAACATAAGAATGGCTGCTGGTTTTCTTGCCATTTCCTGAAGTGGAAAAGACTAAAAGGATCAAGCTTAGAGTAGGAGGTGTATCAGGAGCTCAGCTTGACATGTGTTGAGTTTAAGATGCCTGCCATGCAAGTGGATATGTCAACAAGGGTGTTGAGTACGTGTGTCTAAAGGAGAGGTCCAGATAGGAGATATAAATTTGGAATTTATGAGCACATAGATGACATTTAAAGTGACCAAACTGACTTTAAATACTAAAGATATAGATAGGAGAGAGGAAGAAGGTAACCTGAGTCCTGAGGTATGCCATCATTTAGAAAGTCAAAGATGTGACAGGCAGACAGCAAAGGATAGCAGAAAGGTAGGTGGGGAACCAGGTCAAGAAAGTGTTTCTAGAGGGAGTGTTCAACTGTTATAATTGTTGCTGACAAATCAGATGGGGACTAGACTCAGCCATTAGATTTTGCTATGTACAAGTCATCTGTGACTGGTTGGAGACATGGCCTAATTGAAGTGAATTCAATAGTTAAGGGGGGGGGACAGAAATTGGAGATAGGAAGCTTAGCCATTTTTTAAATAATTTTGTGTTAAAATGAAGGAAAGAAATAGTGTAGCAGTAAAGGTGAAATTGGGGTCAAGAAGGCAATTATTTTTAATACAAGAGAAATAATTGTTTGTAGGGTGATGGGAAAGATCCAGTAGAAGTGATGATGATACTGGAGTGAGAGTGCAGAATTCCAGAGCAAAATCTTCAAATAAACCAAAGGGACTGGGATCTTTTGCACAAATAAAGAGCTGTCCTTAGTGAGGAGCATGAGTGCTTTGTCCATAGAAATGGGAGACAAGTTAGAGTATGCGGGCACACCTGCGGGTCGGTGTATAGGTGCTGTGATAGGAGCTTAGATGGAGCTTTTCTTCTGCCTAATTAGTTTCACATCAAGTTAGTAAGTAATCTGCTGAGAGTGAGAGCAAAGGAGAAGAGAAGGTAAGAAACAATCATCCAGAAGAGTAAAATCCTTTAACTTTTAGACTTGACTCCTCTTAATTCCCTAAGCCAGGTGGAAGAAGACAGGAAATAATCCTCTAGAGGAGAGGGAGAAGGAATGGGCCAGGGAAGCAACAGGATTGGTGGGCAGCATTCAGCGTTCACTAGAGTTTTAAAGTGTATTTTTTTCCACCCTTGTTTGAGCTGCGTGATTGCTAGTGCAGACTTGGTGACAAGGTAGATTCAACAAGGGGTGGTTTAGCCAGACAAGCTCTAGAAAGTCCAAAAGGGCAAGGAAATTGAGGATGTATGCAAATATGTAATGGTAATGATTGTTGTGGATTTTAAACCACAAAAGGAAAAAAGTAATCTTTGCTGAAAAGCTTTGGTTGTTTCTATGTAACAAGCAAAGCATTTGAGTAAATAATTGTATACCACTGAAATTTTTATTTCAGACTTTGTAGAATTCATATGGGATCCTTTGTCAACCTCACAGACGACAAGTTTAATAACACATTGCGGAATGATTCTTGAAGAACATTCCACTTGGGAGAATGAAGTTAGTAAAGGCAAACAGGTAATAATTTCCAGAATTATAAATTTCTTAATTTATCTATAAATCAATATAATTTTATTATAAATCTTTTTTACAGAAGATACACAAGACATAATTATCAGGAACCTATTTGGGGAAAAACATATTTAGTTCTGATTTATAGAAACTAGAATTGAGCATTATTTTCTCTTAATAAGATGGAAGATATACTTCGATATTCCTGAATACTTTAACGGGAATTGTAATCATTATTACAGGATACACATACATATAATAAGACCCAGATTCATTGTTTTTTTCTTATTAGCTTATTTCTCTGCTCAGTGCTCTGACCTGTGTTCTCACGGCCCAGCCAGCCGTCCTTCAGGCTTGTGAACGTACATTGCCCCGGCAGAGGTGAATAGCCATAAAGGCATTCGTGCAGGTTAATTCCTTCTAAAAGAAAAAGAAAACTCATTTCCTTTGTTCTTTTGGCAAAACTCTAGTGGCATTGTGGCCTTGCTGTAACAATGATTTACAGTTAGGCTTACATTCACTATATTAACTAATTATTTAGCTGCCAAAGAGCAATGATCTCTTTATGTATTCACAGATCTACAGGATAGATTCACATTGTACTGTGATTTAGAATTGAGTATTGCTAAGCATAAAACATCAAGAGGAACTTTTTAGAGGCCTTGATGAGAGGCTGATGAATCTGACTCATTGTAGTACTGTGTTTTATCATTCTTCTTGTTTATGAAAATGTTGTATCCTCATGCAGTTAAAAAGTAAATGAATTTTATGTTGAGCTTTAAAAGATTGACAGACTGGAGAGCACCCAAAATACAATTACCAAAGTGGTTGAAAAGCAAGGAAGCATGTCATATTCATACTCTGAACACCATTAAATGTTTGTACCTAAATTGTTAGCATGAAGTAGGGAAACTGTAAAAAGAGGGAAAAGAGGGGTTCTATAAAGATTCTGCCTTCAAGCAGTATGTAATCTTGGAGGAAATAACTAGGCTGGAGTTTGTAAGTGCCTTTTCAAAACTGTTTTAAAGTATATATACAGAGGTATGTGTATCTGATTGTTAAAAAACTTCATTGTTTGGAGAACTTTTTCACCAAATAATGTATTTTAATACTCAGGAAAGTTAATAAGCTGAGTTTTAAAATGTGTGAATTTAAGTTTTCTTTTGTTTTAAACAATGTATTTGAAAACAATGTCAAACTTCCAGAAAAGTGTCATGAATAAAAATAGCCTACTCATTGAGTTTTTGTTCTTAATGTTTATTAAATATTGCGGTGTGGCCACTTGAGGAACATGGAATGAGAAAATGGACTTCAGTTAGAGATAGTTTTTATGAAAACTATTTAGTTGACTTCTTCGTTTACGAGTAATTTGATTAGGATAGAGTATATGACAATTTAATTTGTGCTACACATATTTTCACTGACCTAAAAAATAACTTTCACTCTAGTGTGTAGCAGGCCATTTTCACTTTTCAAATATGGATTCCTTTTTAAGAGTAAGAACACTATCTTATTATAGAAGTTTTGCTAATACATGAAAAAAAATTCCTTAACTCCCCTTATCTTTTCATCCCAGTTCAAGGACTCATACCATTGTAGGATATTTTCATCCAGAATTTTATTTCAAAGTTGTACCCCTGACAGACATGTACATACGTAACCTACTTCTTCCATTTAATATCATCTAATTAAATATTTAAATTTGTATTTTACTACATTCTTCATAAACTTTAGCTAAATAATATTTTATGCAATGTGAATGATGTCTACAACTTAATGTTCTTAAAAGTCACTGTGATTGAATACTTTGATTTCCAATTTTTGATATACAAATAAAAAAATTTGCCAGAATGATTTTACTGCATCAAAGGACCCATAGCTAGAGAGTATATAAAAGGTTTCTACAAATCAGTAAGAAAGATAAACAGGTACATAGACAAGCAGCTTAATTAGGTAATTTGAAAAACAACATGTTCAAATGGCAAATAAGAATATGAGAGAATGCTCAACACCACATTACTCAACAGAAAAATTAAAAAGAAAAACATAAGACTAAATAACAGAATTGAAAACATTTTTTAAAAATACCACACTTTAGTAAGGGCGTGAACAAATAGGTTTTCTCACACTCCGCCAGTGGGAATGTAAGTGGGATACACCACTGCTTCCTAAAAGACATATACAAGAACATTCATAGCAACATTATTCATAATAGCCACCAAATTGGAAACCATCTAAATGTCTTATCAGTAGCATCCTGTAACAGAATACTATACAGCAGTGAAAATGTACTGACTACAGTGATGTGCAATAACATGGGTGAATAAAGTTCTCTTGTACCTAATTGATATTTTAACACCTAATTCTGTGTGTGTATACAGAATAAGTTACTTCTGTTGCTAAATATATTTCTACCTATGACTGTCACTGATGCTTTTAAATTTTTAAATAATAGGATTTACTTAAATCCATTGTTTCAAGAATGAAGAAAGCAATAGAAGATGATGTTTTTATTCCTCTATATCCAAAGAGGTAAGAGTGTTAATTTCTAGATTGTATGAATTAGCTAATTGTGTCATATTGATTTAAGAATATAATAAAAAAGAAACTCTATTAAGTATTTTCAAAACATACTTATACCCATTAAGATGCAAATTGAGATTTTAACAAATATTTCTCAGTCACATTCTATGTACCACATATGATGCTTAGCACTTGGATATAGGGATTTTTTTTTTTAATGTTATTCTTAAGAACATGACAAGTAGCATTGCAGAGTAATTAAAACCACAGATTCTGGAGCCCAGATTCACCATTACTAGATAATGACATTGGGTCTTTCTGTGTCCTCAAATGTAAAATGGGACATCAAGTTAATGCCTATCTCAAAGAACAGTATGATAACAAAGCGTGCTTAGAACATTGCCTGGCACAGAGAAGGCATAGCATAGGCCTGGAACGTCACTGAGGGGCCAGAAACTGCATCTCTGAATTCTGTGTTTATTTTAAATTACGAAACAAGTAGTATCTGATGCTTGTCCATACATTTGCTAAGAAGACATCAGTTATAGTAATAGATCATGAGCTGAAGCTACCCAGCAAGTACCCACAGCATGAAAGAGCTTTATGGAGAGAAAAGGAAAGCATTTCTAAGCTTTCTTATCAATTTGAATCAAGAAAAGATTTCTGTGTAAAAATTCTTCCTCTTAAGTTTTATTTTTTAGTGTTTTAGACAGATAATATATTCACATGGTTCAAAATATGAGTGTATCTTTTTAAAATTGTGTTTATATTTAAAATGAAAAATCTTACTCCCTCCCACTCCTAACTTTCATCACCCACTTTTTGACCTTCCTCTGCTATGCACACAAATACATGCAATAATAATCACTGTCGGTAATTTTTTTTTACCTTTCCAGAATTTATGCGATTATAATTAAATACTTATAGATGTTGTAATCTTATTTTCCCTCCTTCCTATAGCAAAGGAAGTATATTGTAAACAGTTGTACATTTTTTTATTCCTTAATTTTTTTGACTTAGTACATCTTTGATATCTTCATATAGTTTGTCATTATACATGTCATCATATAAGTAGTTTCCTCATTCTTTTTTAAGCTGCCTGATATGCTGTCATAGAGATGTACTGTAGCTAATGGGCATATAAGTGGTAAACCATTACCGACATTGTTGTTAGTAATTTTATAGACATTCTGTGTGTGTGCAAGTATATCTGATAGCAAATAAGCCATTTTGAAAAATAGATTGGTTGGGTCAAAATATGCATGCATTTGTAATTTTGATATTATCAGAGCACCTCCATTCATATTCCATTAAGGGTTTAGTTTAGTTGGTTAAAAAGAAAGAAAAGCCACTCAGATTTTTAAACTCTTATTCTTAAAGATTAACAACTATTTGCATTGTCTCCTTTCTCTTTCATTTCAAATTAGTGCTGTAGAAAACAAAACATCACCACATTCAAAGTTCCAAGAAAGGCAATTCTGGTCAGGCCTAAAGGTAAGCCAAGAACTGCAAAAATAAAGACTTTTTCTTTTAAATCCAGTTGACTGTAAAATGGAGATCAACAAACTTCTGTAAAGGACCAAACCATTTTTCGATCCTTTAGCTCCTGTTGTACTAGTCAGCACTGCCACTGCAGTGCAAAAATAGTCATAGACAATTCATAAACAAATAAGCATGGCTGTGTTTCAGTTAAAACCTCTACTTATGGGCACTGAAGTTTAAATACATATAATTTTCATGTGTCACAAAATTTTCTTCTATTTTTTAAATCATTTAAAAATATAAAAACCAGGCGGTGGGAGGAGGGGCCGGGACATGGCAAGGAGGCGAGGCTGTCGCCCTTGCCGCTGCCACCCTAGCTGCGGGGCTGCCCTCAGTTCCCATTTGACACCAGCACACCCTCCGAGCAGCGCCAGCGCAGGGCTCTCCAGGTCCACGCTGGGCAAGGGGACCGCGAGGTGGTGCCTAGGCTGCCCTGGCGGTGTGTCCATAAACACTACATGTGAAGGGTAGTAAAAGGGAACAGTGATTTCTGAAGTGCCCTAGAGAGAATCAGCACTGGTAACATGCCGTGGACAAACAAAAACTCAGTGTTTTCCAAAGATGCTGTTGAAGTAGCCTTTCCTACTGCTTTGCTTCACTCAGCGTTCTCCATAAATGAGCTGCATGAAATCAAAGTGAACTTTCCCGTTTCCTGCCACAGTTGTGAGTGACAGGTGGCACACAGGTGCAGCGAGCCTTAGGTCAGAAGAGGGATTTCAACCTAGGATGCCTTCTCAAGTTATCAGTGAGGAAGTGAAGGAACCCAGAGAGTCTGAAATTGTGGTCCTCAAATTTGCACACTGCCTGTCCCAGGAAATCTTGCGTGATGCCTTGCAGCAGTGGGCAGATAGTAACATCAAGTACTATGATACCCCATTCGTTGAGAGTGAGGGGCCTTGATGCTCTAGCATTATGACGCCTTCTTGAACTGTGGTTATAGTTGGTGCTAGTTTAAATACATGAAACAAAAGCGAAAAGTTGTATGAATATTATGATTCTATCTGAATGTAAAAATCGGTCTCTCATCATACCAAGAGTGTAGGAATACCTAAAATGAAATGTGTTTTAAACAGTTCTATGGTAATAGCAATTTCTATCTTCTTATTCTTTGTAGTCACTTAAAGGGCTGAAACATAGGTCCTGTGGTACCACAGTGATCAGCTGTATGTCACGTGCAGCTTGAGACAGTATCGCATTACCAAAGAAATAAAAATTTAAAAAATAACATAAAAATATAAAAACCATTCTTAGTAAGCCAGCTCTACAAAAACAGGCAGTAAGTTGGATTTAACCCACAAACCACAGTTGGCTAATCCCTGGTCTAAAAGATAATGGATGAAGTCAATGTGGATTCAGTGGCAACAGGGATGGTAAGGAGAAGATGGGTCCAAAAGATATTTAGGCTGAACCATTGAAAGGACTTGAGGACTAATTAATAACGTGAAGAACGTGGAGTGCTTGCCAGGTTTCTGACTTCAGCAGCCTGGTAACTTATGACATTCCTTGAGGGCAGTGGCAGGGATACAGAGAAAAGAACAGGTTTGGGAGAGGAGATGGGATCTGTGTGAGATACAGTTAACTGAAGATACCCAAAAGAGGGCTAAGAGGCAGCTGGATATGTGAGTCTGAATTGCAGGGTACAAATCGGAGCTAGAGATTCGGGGAGTCAACCACATATAGTGTTTGGAGCCATGGTCATGAATGACAACCTCTGAGGAGATTGGGTGACGCATGAAAAGGAGACTAAGGACAGAACCTTGGGAAACACTGACATAAGAGGTGGACAGAGAGAGTGGAGGCTTCAAAGAAGCCTTAGAATGAATTGTGAAACAGAATTGTCACAAGAGAGTGGCATCAGGGGAACTAGGTGAGGGGTTTTTAAGAATTAAGACAGTGTTAAACGCCATTGGAAAGAATTAGGAGGACGATTGAAAACGCTTATCAGAATTGACTATTAGGAGGTCATAGGTAACCTCAGCAAGAATAGTTCCAATAGGGTGACTTCATGTTTGTCATGTGGTTGAGTCAAGAAAAAGGCTTTCCAGTAAGAGGGAGGAACATCACAATGACAAAGTATAAAAGAACATTGCAGGTTAGTACAACTGCATGTGGTTTAGCACTTAGAATAATAAATATAGTATTGGAAAGAATTCCAATTGCAATTGTAATTCTTTTCCAATTAGATTAGAATTCACAGAAATACCCTAATTTAGAGGAGGAAAAGGCAAACCATATTAATTTTATTAGATTTTTTTTTTTTTTAGTATTTTATCCAAGTTACCGCCAAACTTCCAGGTTATTACTGATCTTATTTTATATATCAGAGCAATGAGGCTCTCAGGTTTGACTGACGCCTCGAGGTCACACACAGTCGAGACAGTGGCACTGGCTTTAACGGAGCCTCCTGGGGTCCTGCGGCCTTGCATCCAGTGGGCCCAGGCTCCGGGGGAGACGATGGGCCGAGGAGGAACACTGTTGATTTGGAAAGGCTCCAGCAGATTTTTCTGAGATGGATTTTGGGTGGTTGTCCTAAAAACTGAAAATAGGATGAGCAAATATGTGGAGGTTGGAATGTACCAAGTATTTATCTAGAAATATTTTCTGTTGATTCTAAAATTGAAAATTTCAACAGTATACTAATTGTAGTGAAAGTTTGAAAGTGTTTGACCAACTTATGTTTGTTGGAGACTCTTCTAGTTTTTATTTGGAGAAAAGGTACACAGTCACTTGACATTTTATTTTATTTTAGCTCTTCTGCAATATTCTTCTTTGGAATGGACTCCTCCCAGATGACGCCTTGCAGGAGCTAGCGCTAGGGAAGCTGCTAAATCGTTACCTTATCGTAGCTCTTCACAATGCCGTGCCTGGGCCAGATGTTGTTAAAAAGTGCAGCCAGGTGAGTTCTGTAGGAAAGGATTCTAATTTTATCATTTTTTAAAATTCAGTTATTAAAATCTATTTTGTAACAAAGTAATTAAAATTATGATGCTCACATAATAACAAACAAATCTATTTAACAGACTAGAAACCCAAAAGCAACTCCTCAGTGTTTAAAAATTAGTATACAGGTTAATTGTTTATAAAAAGAATATTAGAGCCTTACTTCTCACTAAATACCTACGTAAATTTCAGGTAAAATAAAGAATCAAGTGTTAAAAATGAAATAAAGTATTGTCCTAAGAAGATAAATGACCATATTTGATGGTAAGGGAGTCCTTAACATAAAGCAGAAGAAATGATGAGAAAACGTGTTAGATTTGATAATGCTGAAAAACTTAAGTGGATGAAAAAAACATTAACCAAAAAGATGTAAGATTATTTAATCATCGTGAAACTAGAACATGGGTTCATTGAGCTCACTATACTTATTCTCTCTCCTGTTGTTTGTGTTTGAAATCTATAAAAGGTTAAAAAGAGAGTGAGCTAAAAAACTGATAAAAGTTATTATACAGGGGTTGGCAAAGTAGGTTAATAATAATTATTAATACACTAATAAATAAATAAGAATAAACTTTCTCATACTCACACTGTAAATCTATTTTGCCCACCCCTGTATATAACAAGGATTAATATCCATATATTAAAAAGACTTTTTACAAATCATTAAACAATAAAACATTCCAATTAAAAATGGCCAAAAGACATTAGACAATTACGAAAAAATAATATGCAAAAATAACCTCTAAACATGTGGAAAAGATTAACACTACTAATAATCAGAGAAATGCAAATAATACAGTAAGGATATTATTTTACCTCTTGTGTTGGCAAACTTTATTGCTGTTGCTTTCAATATAATTGCTGGTACCATCATAAGCAAAGGGAAACAATGGCTCTGCATCAGTCCAAGGGCACCATTTGCCTGGAACCTGTGACCCAGCAGTTCTGGGAAACAGTCTCTGTGCTGGTAGAGGGAGAGAAACGACTCTGGAGACTATTTTGACATCGATACAAAACCTTTAAAGCTCATACCCTTTGACTTAGCAGTGGTACTTCTAGGAATTTATTCTAAGTTAAAAATCAGAGGTGCACAGATTATAAGTACAAGGAATATTATTGTAACATTATTTATAATAGAAGATAAAAAACAACCTAAATGTTTAAAAACATTACTATCTATCCATAAGATAAAAGTCACGTTGAATTTTTAAGAAATGAGAAAATAGTTACTTTATAATACGAATTTATCTATAAACATTATATATATTTATGTATATAAACATACATTTATTATATATATAATGTTTATATATACATATATATATAAACGTTAGGTTGTAGTTCCTAGCCAACCATAATTTTTCTGGCCATGGTTTTTATATCATGTAGTTTTAAACTACATTCTCTACCAAATATTTAAATCATCATCCATGCTATGTGTTTCAGGTTCCATTTAACCTCCTTTGACCATAAGAGTCTACCATGCAGAAGTAGAGAAGAAGACACATTGACATTCTCTCCACAGCTTGTGGCTAGAACACCAAGCCAAGCCAATGTGGTTTTATGTCCTGGGATCATTTATGGAAAATCTACGTGGTTCCATAAGACTTATTGTTGAGACTTGTGATATAAAACAAAGGGAGAGCCAGGTGCAAATGATTTTAAATTTCAAGCCAAAGCCAATAAGGGTTGGTTTCAGAACTTTAGAAAAGAGATGCAGTTAATATAAGAAACTTGACTTAGCACTTTCTGTCTTAGGCAAGCAATGTGTCTGCATTTTTTCTGAATAATTGCAAAGAGTGATTAAGGAGTAGGATAAATCTTTTTTCTCATCTGTGATTTCAGTGCTGGTCAATCAGATTTATTTTAGAAAGAATGCATCCCAGAACTTTCATTTAACATTTTATAATAAATATGTGCCACATTTTCTCCTTACTTTTACTTTATATAAGTACTGATCTTGATCTTACCAACTGTAGCATAACCTATTTGTCAAAGAATTTCTTTGAAAAGTATGACCTCAGGTTTTTCCTTTCTCCCCTTTTCTCTCCTTTTTTATTCTTCCATCTGTTATGAAGTTTTTAATTTATTTTGTTAACATTTTTCTGTTTTTACCAAAACTTTCCCCCAAGTCATGTGTTACCTTTAGGATGATAATGATGTGTTATTTTTTTTTTCCCCAAAGAAAAATTGCACATATACTGACTATGCTTCCATGGACATTTATAGCAATATATTAAATTAAAAGAAAATAAAAACTATAGTTTTTTTTATTCTGTGTATCTTAGAATCACCTGCTTGATTCCTTAACTCTGATATGTTTATGTAGATTATATGCTAGGTCAATCAATGTCTTAGTGAAGTAATACTAAATGTATGTATTTTATAGTTGTAATAACTACAAGTGTTTTGTGTTTAGACCTTTCTGGCATTTAATTGTAAATTGTGTTTTGTTTTGTCCAGATTTAATGGCCCAGAAATACAAAGTATAGGAAGTACCATACCACTACAAGTACCACTAAAAGGCATTCATAAAAAGTAGTCTATTAAAATATAATTCCAAGAAAGAAAGGGAAATTTTAAAAATTTATTTAACTATACTATAAAATAAGAGAGTAATACCCAACCTGTGTGATCACCGTGAAGATTAAATGGCATCATGTTAGCAAAAGTCCTAAGATGTTAACTATCATTATTAAAAAACAACCATGTGTTTTGATTAACAGATAACAGCATATTTACCAGAAAAATGGTTTGAAAATTCTGCCATGAGGACATCTATTCCCCAACTAGAAAACTTCATCCAGTTTTTATTGCAGTCTGCACATAAATTATCTAGAAGTGAATTCAGGTAATGCACATTTCATTGTACCTCCATGAGCATAGTTCAAAGATTCTAATATATTCTCAGCAATTTTTAGAAAGATTTGAACTTTTACTCCACTTTTAAGAATCCATTGAGACTATTACTCAATGGAATTACTAGATATTTTTATGTGCAACCTTTGGAATCACTCTTTTATACTCACACCTCATACATACATATAGTTCATTTTTTTATACTTACTGCACCTTTTTTTTTCTTGTTCAGTTACAGTTCATATTTTTAAATGTAAATCTCTTCCAAAATAAGCACATCCAGAAAACTATAGCACAGGGCAATTTAGAATTAAAACTGTAAGTCAAAAACGTCTTGTTAAGCATGTTTTAAGTAAGTTTTTAATTTTCCCGCCATTTTTAAAGTCTCAACACTTTTTAAGTTGGGGAAACACCAGGTGCGCAGCCTTGGGTTTCCCCAACAGTAACCAGATGTCTGTTTTGTGTATTTCACATACAGCATAGGATGTTTAGGGGCTTAAGGACAGTGGTGTTCAGGTGAGCCCCCTCTCCCAAAATTACAAAGCCCAGATGGGTGGCGTTAGAGGGTGTCTGTGGGGTAAATGCCCCCACTGAGGCTCCCACCACAGCAGCCTGTACCAGCCGGTGGCAGCAGCCACAGCTCAGATTTCTGGCAATAGGTTTGCTCTGTGTTTTTCTGCATTTTACAGTCATTCATGTTAAAATTTGCCAGGATATATCGACGAAATGGTCTGAATTGATACTTTATAATTATCCAGAGAAGGTAGCATCTGAATATATAGGGTCTGGCACAAATAACACCCCTTTTTTATTACAAAATCTTTTATTACAAAACCATAAGCATGTAATTCTGTAACATAATACTATCACACTCAAGCGCACCATATGACATTTTATGTAAAATGTTCAAATTAAAACTATAAATTATTATACCCATATTAATACCCTACCAACCTCAAGCAAATATTACTTCTGCCAGATCCTGTTTTATGCTATTTTAGATATTGGCTTAAGGTAAAGTTTTTGTTTCAGATTAACAACTGATGACTTACTGTGTTCTCGTATGCTGCATTTTTTAAGGGGAAAATGCTTTTTTTGTTTGTTTTCCAGAGATGAAGTCAAAGAAATAATTCTTATTCTGGTGAAAGTAAGAGCTTTGAATCAAGCAGACTCCTTCATAGAAGAGTATCACCTAGACCATCTTAAATCAGTAATTAACGAAGTTTGACTGAACCGTATAGGAGAGTAATGCAGTCAATTTCAGTATTGCCATGCTCGGCTCCTTTGCCAGGGGCTTCTGGGGTGGGGAACTGGTGCCTCATTATTCTTAATAATAGAGGCAAGGATTTGAAAAAAAAAAAAAAAGATTTCATCCGCCCGCTTCCTCCGTCTGGTATCCGGAAAGGCTGCTCTTCTGATTCTGTGGTGTTTGCTGGAATTAGTAAGCACACAGGGGCAGTTAAGAATTTAACCTACATATTTCCCTTTGACTCTCCTGGCTGCTTTTCCAATTTAAGAGAGTTGGAGAAACCTTACTTGTAGCTGCTTTGGCTTTAGTGAGTCTCCTGTCCTGATCCACAAAAACATCTTTTAGTTCTCTTCATTTTAATGATCTCTATTTACAAATAAGCTAAAATGGAAATCTTAATTGGAATTATTTGTTGAGTATTAACCAATTAATGTATTTTAAGGCTGTGCTAGCTAATGATTATCAAATTTTCCCTCAGAAATCTGTACCAATGTATTTTACCAACACAAGTGCAAGAGAAGCCAATGAATCCACACCAGCAATAGGTGTTACCATTTTGTTAACTCACTGCAAATGTAATAGTTGAAAAATCTTACTTTAATTATGTGTTTGGGCTGTTAGAGAGTGATTGCTTGTTGTTTTGAGGCTGTTTACAGCTCTTTTTGGCATATCTATTCATCTTTTTCTTAGGGATTTGTAAGAGCTTCGTATATTTAAAAATAACGTTTTGCCTGTCCTGTCTCATTTGCCATTTTTCTTTTAGTTTTGTGTATATTTTTGATATACTAAGTCATTACTTGCTAGGTAGTTACCACTGTTTGTTGTGGTTTTTGTTGTTGGTTTTAAGCTTAGATAAGAAATAGGTATTTTAAATATTCAGAACATGTGATTCATTTTCTGATAAAATATTTGTATAAGAAAATCTGAGGCAAGGATTAGGGTTGACAGTATTTTTCAAAGTGAAAGTTTACCAATAATATTTCTTAGATCTATTTGTAAAATAACTCCATGGCAACCCTAATTATATATTTTGCATATTGTTACCCAAAAGTTAATCAGGAAAAATTGGTTATATTGTAGGATTTGAGTATGTGGCCTCTGACACAATCACCCCTCACTTTGAAGCTGCATATATTTTAATAGGTTGATGTATTATTTCTACTGCAGTGAAGACTCATCATTCACTTGAACATTTTTTTAAAGTCTATTTTAGTTATAGAAATTATATAGGAATAGAATCTTATCTAGAAAATTTAAGCCATTGCTAAAAAGCATTTAGCATTCCCACACAATTATTATTCCCAAGGGTAATTGCTATTTTCATTTCAAAGTTACTCTATCAGACCTTTGCTCTATTTACAAAAGTGTGTTTGTGTACAGCTTTGTTGTTTACATAAATGACAGTTCTTTATTATATATGAAATTTGTAGTTTTTTTACTATAAAATTACATACAAATTTAAAAACTTCCCTCTGACTTTTTCATTTTTATTAAAGATGTGTTGGATGTGTCCTCCTTACATGTTTAAGTTGGGCAAAGAGATTTCTTTTGCTTTTCATAGACTGGAAAATATTGGATCTATTTTCAAAACTACAGATTGATTTAAACTTTAATGCTTGTCAACTAAGTTTCATTATGCTTGGAGTTTGAACCTCAAGATTTTTATCCATCATATACTATAATTAAGGATATTCGAAAAACAGTTGTGAAGCTTACCTAATCCTCAGTGCAGTTTTTCTCTCATTTTCCTGTTACTATGAAATGGATGAAATGAATGGGAAGAACTTAACTAGCAAGAACAGAGCTTTGACTTAATAACTCATCACACATCTTATTTATTTTCCTGGACTTTTTTCAGTTTTATGTTCACATAAAGTTTTTACAGAATCAGACAAATGACTTTTTAAAAGCTTTTCTCATGCTGTCTTTTAGGAACCAAAAAAGTGGCCATGAAAAACACCTCAGATCATTTTTTTTTTTGCACTTCTTAGGCTTATGACAAAGTGATATTTATATAGGTGACTCCTAAGAAATACTACATGTGATACAAAACTTCAGAAAGATATTACTGGAAAAGAAAATAATAGACCAGTATTTCATGAACATAGAAGTAAAAGTCCTTGAAATATTAACAAATTGAAACCAGCAGTGTATAGAAAGGATAACAATAATATTAATACACAATGACTCCATAGGGTATGTTCTAGGAGGGTAAGGTTGCTTTAACATTAGAAAGTCAGTACAATTCGCCAATGAATAGAATAAAAGAGGAAAACTGTATGATCATCTCAGTGACTGCAGAAAACACATTGGACAAAATTCAACACCCTCTCCCAACATAAAAGCTAGGAATATAAATTTCTCAGCCTGATAAAGAACATCTGCAAAAACTTCTACACTTAACATCATTCTTATTGATGAAATATAAAAGCAAGAATGTCTGCACTCACCATTTCTGTTCAACATTGTGCTGTAGGTCCTAGCAATCATAAAATCAATTGTTAGAAAAAAGCATAATGATTAGAATACAAGAGTTAAGACAGTCATTATTCACAAATGACATGATTGTTGACACAGGAAACTTTATGCACTCTAAAAAAAAAAAAGAAATCCAGAACTAATAAGTAAATTTAGCAAGCCCAGGGGCAGGTTGGTCATCTGACTGGAAACTTAAACTTTAAAAACAATAACATTTCAGTAGAATCAAAATACACCAAATACCTAGGAACAAATCTATGGAGAGATGTGTAAGTTCTCTACATTGAAATCTTTGCTGAGATTTTTTCAAAGCCTAAATAAAAGGATGAAACAGCGTGTTCATGAATTGGAAAACTCAAATTTTGCTTAGGGTGCCTGGACACTCCAAACTGGTTTATAGTTCTGCAATCAGTCCCTGTCAAAGTCCCATCAGGCTTTAAAGAAATAGACTGGTTGATTAAAATATATTAAAATTAAATTTTATGTGAAAATCCAAAGACTTTAAAATAGCCAAACTAATCTTAAGAAGGAAGATCATTTGGAAGACTTGCTGTATCTGATTTCAAGTCTTACTCTAAAGCTATAATAATCAAGTCCATACTTTTAAGATAAGAATAGATTACCATATCAGTGGAACTGAATCAATAGTTCAGAAATAGACCTTTACGTATACGAGTACAATCAATTTTTGACCAAGGCACCAAGTTAATTCAGTGGGAAAAGTAAAGTACAACCATATTGGTGGAACAACTGAATATATAAAATAAAATGAGCCTGTACCCTTATATGCAAAAATGCCCCCCCAAAAAAGAGAGATGAATTATACATCTAACTGTAAAACTCAAAACAGTAAGCTTGTAGAAAAACAAATACCTTTTGTCTTGGAGTAGGTAAAGATTTCTTGGGTAGGACACAGCACTTTCCAAGGAAAGAAAAGATAAATTGGGCTTTATCAAAATATAAAATTTATACAAAATTATTCATCTTAGGTCCTCTGAGAAGTACAAATTAAAACTGTTGTACCGTGATATATACCATTGCAAATCCACCAGGATGACTGAAAAAGGCTAACATCAAATGGTAAGAATGAGAAGCCGCCAGAACACTCATAAACTGCTGATGGACGGGTAAACGGAACAACCACTTGGAGAGCTGTTCATCAGTTTCTTATTAAACATTCACTTACCATGCAACTCAGCAATTCTGCTCCTAGATATTTACCCAAGAAAGTAAAAATACGTTCCCAAAAAATCTTGGACAAGGGTATTACTAGCAGCCTTAATAGTGGCCCAAACTGTAACAAAGTGGATAAACTCTATTTGTACAATGGAAAACTCAGCATTGGAAATGAACTAATGTATACAAAACAATAAAATCTCAAAAACTTGTTAAATGAAAGACGTTAGAAACGAATCCATACATTATGATTCAATGTATATTAAATGTAAGAACAGGTAACTCAAATGGTGGACGAATGAAAAGAAGGGAACTTGCAGCAGCGATGGAGATGCTGTACAGTGATTTGCTTGGTGGGTACATGGGTGTATTCAGTTGTTAAAAGCTCATGGATCAGAAAACTTAAGATCTGTGCATTTTATTGTACTTTAATTGTGCATCAACTTTTTAAACATGTAGGTCAGGCAAGTAGGTGTCTGGAATAGTGAACTGTCTGGCAGTGTCACCGATTGAGCAACATTGAAGACCATACTAATTGCTCGTCATGAGTATTGTATTCAAAGGTCATCAATGAATGCTAACTGAAAAAAACGGGCAGGGATATCCAGAGAGATTTTTGTTCTTAGCGTTCACAGTCCATTAGACCAGAGGTGCTTAACCCATTTTCTGCACAAACCTACACTTTGAACAAACTTCCACCTGGGATCAGAATCACTGCCCTGTAGTATTTAATGTTAGGGATTCAGTATGATCTAATAAGAAATGTCCCAGGAAAATTCTGTAAGACCACCAGAAACACTATTTTGGCAATATCCTCTTAACCATTTAAGTCACATGGAGTTAGTTCAGAAAAATTGGAATTAATGTTTGTTAACACAGACTTTATAGGCTTTTTATTCAACTTCAATGGAGCGTTGAGATTGATTAGCCATTTGAATATTTTCATGTAAATGGTTGTGTGACAAAATTAAATGGCTTTAGGCCCACAGTTCCCAAACTGTGAGCTGAGATGCTCTGGGGCAAGATGTAAACTCACAGAGACATCACAGAACACTTTAAATTTTCAAGGGAGACAGCGGTACTTGGCATCTGTCAGAAACTGCTGGAACTTGGAGCTCAAAATTGCTCAATTTCAACATCATCATGTTACATTACCTTAGAAAACGATATGTATTGGTGAAGTTGGACTGTCAGGTTGCTATGATAAAAAGTAATTCCATGTGGAACAGGAAATGAGTGGCAGTACCCAATCTGATTACCAGCTTTGACAAATTGCATAGTGGCTAACAGACACACACACTGCCATTAGCAATTATGTTTTCAGGATGCAATTTTTTTATTTGTGTCTATAATTTTAAATATTTGGGCATAGATGACTAATAAATGGCACTCTTTCTTTTGACCTAGGGGGTTGGGCGACCCCCTTTTTAAAGGGGGGGGCCACCCTTTAAAAATTCCTGAAAAACTTAAGGATTTGTGAAGTGGGAAAGTCAGAACAAACCACTGATAGTTCATTGAGAAATGCAGAATGTTCCTAGACACATTTGGGTTTCTTAAGGCTAAAGGAATATGTAGAAAATTGTGCTTATTTGTGCTACAATTTTCAGGAACAAAAGAAGGATTTTTATATCAAAGGATATTAAAGATAGCTAAATGTCACAGATGTGTTGCTGCAAGGGTAACCAGCCATCCTGGTTTGCAGGAATAGGCTTTCCAGAAAACTAGGACACATTGGTCACTCTGTTGACTTCCCTGAAAACAGTAAGTAACGGGCATCTTGGTTATCTGCCTAATTTAAAGCACAGTAACCTGCCTTGAATTTCACCTCCATTCTACTGTTTCTATAGGAGGCAGGACGTGCAGAGCAGTGGTTCTCAAGACTAGCTGTACATTAGAATCCCACTGGGTGCTTTTTCAAACACTAGCGTCCACCCCTCACCTTCCCATCATATTCTGATAGAGTCTGGAGATATTTTTTACTTATTTTTTAATGGTCTATTTTTTATTGTATTTTCTTTCCATTACCATTTATTCCCCCTTAACACCTTCTTCCACCTCCACCCCTAGAGATGTTTTTTTCCTTGATTTTAACAGAGCCCTGACTCAGACATTTCTGAGTTGTAGCATCAGCCTCACCGCCTGTCTCCTGTGCCACTTTAGACAAGCTGCTGACCTCCCTAAGCTATCTCGTTTGTGAAATGAAGTAAAAGCATCTACCTCAGAAGGTTTCTGTGAGTGTTAAAAGACACAAAATGCTTTAAAAAGTGTCTGGAACACAGGAGCGCTTCTAGTGGGACTCAGACTAACCTACCCCTGAAAAATGAAAATTTTAATGTATCATTTTTTTTCTATCTCTAATATGAAAAATATGACTCTTTGAACTCTGAATGACACAAAAGATTCAGGGAATTATTTCCTTCCAGTTAATCATAGCTCTACTACAAATCAAAGTTTAAAACACCACACACTTGAGCAAAATGATGGAGTAGACAGATCCAAGATCTTGTCCTCCCACAGAAACACTGAAAAACGAGCAGAAATGGGCACAAGCAACTTTTTCAGAACTCTTGGAAACAGAGTTTATAGCAACCAAGCCATCAAGAAAAAGGCAACTTTAAAATGATAGGAAGTCACCAAAACGAAG